AGCTGACAGGTTTTGTTACAGCATTTCCACATATGCCATTATACTTTGATCTTGCCCGTCCTTCTACTTATGTTTTTGGAAGCCCAGCCAGGCCCTTTTCCAAATAGCCATGACAGCATGACTGTTGAATAAATACCACGTTTGTGTTGCATTGTGTAGATCCAAACACATTGTCTAAGGCTTGCTGCCGCTCCCTGGCCAGCCAGGACTTGCCTTCATATAGTAAGGAAATGTTAAATTCAGGTGGTAGTTTGCTTTGGGTTCTAAAAGGACCTTCTGCTGATGTAGTTTGTGCATCAGTTCTTTCCTGTCACTAACATATGACTAGCATGTCACCATTCCCCTGGTAGTGAGGACTACAGTCACACAAGAATAACTGCCGTGTGCCCCCCCCCCCATGCCTGGTGCTTCGTTTGCTGTAATGTTGAGATGGATCTGAAACAGGAGAATTTTCCCAGGTTGAACCACAAAAAGCTCAGTCCTTGTGGTGGGCACTTCAGTGTTGCCCGTGAGAACCAAGGTCATCACTGTCCTGGAGGGCCAGGAGCTCAGAAAGGGTACTTCTGTATGTCCACCCCACCCTAACCCTAGTGAGTGCAAGAGCTCCCACAATGAAGTAAGACGAGAACACTATTGCTTTTGGCGTATTCACTACTCTGGTTCCCAGACCTGCAGGTGTGCAGGTTCCTTACAGAAGACTCTGGAACATGAGTGTGGCTGAGCTTCGACAGAGCCCTGGAAGACAGGGCTGAAGAGAGAGAACATTTGGAAACTTTGGGTGTGTCAGAAACTGGCAGCCTTCGGTTCTGTGAGCCAAGCAGTGCTCCCCGTCTTTGCTCTTGGGGGCCTGGAGAAGCTGGGCTGTTGGGGTTGGAGGAAGTGTCCTGCTCCTGTCATGTGCCTCACACAAACCCTGCCTTGGCTCAGGTCCTCAGGATGGAAATGCCCTGAGTCCTGTTCTCCCTCTACTCCAGGCCCACCAAGATCATGCAGGAGGGTTTGGTGCGTAGTGGTTTTCTGTGCACTTGTCATTTGCACACTGGACTTTGGTGTTTATAAAATGTATCAGTCCAAAATAATAACAAAACATTCTTTCCAAATGCTTAAATACTTTTCTAGTTTTGTTTCAAAACTAACTCCCCCTTCTTCTGTTTCTGTAGGACACTAAGTTGTGGATAATAATGGAGTATCTCGGTGGAGGCTCTGCCCTGGATCTGGTAAGTAACCGTGGCCGTGTGGCACCCTCAGCCTGTCCACCATGGTTGTGTAGCACATCTCAGCTTGCTCCACCATTGCAGCAAGAGTTCTAATTGGCCTTAATGATAAAAATCTGGAGTCAGATAGTACGGGGTGAAAGCTGAAAGATGAGAGAAGCAGAGCAGCAAGCCACTAGAGCTCTAAATCTTTCTGCCAAAAGCCGCCTGAGCCCCACCGCCACGTGTGAGCTTTACGCCAGCCGTCTGCCCGAGTTAGGCCCAAATGAATACACAGAAACTTGTATTAGGTTCAAAGCTGCTTGGCCAATGACTAGGATTCTCATCTGTTAGCTCAGTCTCAATTATCATAAATCTATATATTTTATAAGACTTATCTTATCAGACGCCTTATTGGCGTCCCTCCTTGCCGGTGGATCACATTGTGCTGCTGGAGGAGGAGCGGAGGGGAAAAAAGAGGGTCCTTCCTGTTTTTCCTTCGCTTAAATATGAGTCTCCTTGTTATGTCACTTCCTGCCTGGATCACACTTCTCTACTACATTTCCCAGAATCCTCTTTGACTCCTAGTCCCATCTACTTGCTGTCTCATTTATTTTATTCAATAATAAGATGAACATACACAGTATATTCAATAATCAATAAGATGAACATACACAGAAGTGCTTTCCCCGTCACTTAACCTCCATGAAATCCTCAGAGAGCTCCTGTCTCCTCTCTGCTTATATTCCTCTCTCCACCTAGCCATATCACTTCCTGACTGTCTGTCTGGGTAAGTAGTGGCTTGCTCTGCCCTCTGATCTTCAGGCATGCTTTATTTATTATAGACAAACTATCACCACACACCATTGCGGTGCAGCACACACCTCAGGGTGTTCTTACTCATTGTTGGTTTGAACAGGAATTGCGTGTCCATTTCACTTCTTCCTTAAGGAAACATAAAACATAAAGCTTCCTAACTTGTTTTTGTTTCTTATACAGAATTTAAAATTGTAGGGCCCTGTTGAAAGCTCTGGGGGAGAGGGCTGTTGTAACGATAAATCTTTCCACAGCCGCCTGAGTTCTGCCTGCCACGTTAGGGCTCTAAATTAACACAGATTTATATTAGGTACAATGCTATTGACCAATGACTAGGATTTCTTATTTGCTAGCTCTGTCTTAAGTTTCGACCATATCTATTAATCTATATATTTTATAAACTTATTGCAGACGCTGGCGGCAAGCATCCTGTCTTCCTGGGCTCACATGGCGACTCTTGTCTCTACTCCATTTCCCAGAATCCTCTTCAATTCCTAGTTCCGCCTAACTTGCTCCCCTATTGGCCAACAGTGCTTTATTCATCAACCAATAAGACAAACACATACACAGAAGAACTTCCCCCATCAGGCTGTTGCATTATAAACCAGTAAATTAATCTGTGGCAGCCATGAAGGCTTTTTGCTAGAATAGATTATTTTGCCTGTGAGCACTTGGATAGGGTTATTTTTCAGGCCAAAGTCATCAACCTCTGGTTGAGTAACTGTTACAGTAGCCACTATGGTTTTTTCTTTTTTAATTTTATGTGTACAGGTATTAGACCTACATATTATGTCAGTACATGGCTTCAGTGCCTGATGCCTGCAGAATCCACAAGAGGGTTTCAGAGCCCCTGGAACTGAAGTAACAGGCAGTTTTGAGTCTCTGAAGGTCTTGGGGAGAGAACCCATGTCTTCTAGAAGAGCAGCCAGGGCCCTTAACTGCTGACTCGTCTCTCCAGAGCTGCTATCATGGTTTGTCACTTCAGATGGGAACAGCTCCCAGCACATGCTCATCACATGAATGTGATTGCTGAGGTAGGGCTCTAGGGGCTGGAGCAGTGATCATCAGACAGGATGTTGCACACATGGCCACCTTTGATCTTGTCAGTGCCCATGGAGCATCAGAACAGAGCAGGCCTAACCCAATCTTTTGTCTTCCTCTGGACTTGCCCTCGAGTGCCTTGCACACAAGGAGGACATGTTTATCTCACGCTGGGCTTGGTAGAGCACCCACAGATAACCAGCAGTGTGAAGTAGCTCTGTCATCTTGAGACACTGAGGGGGCACAGAGGATGACTTCAGACAAGCAGAGACTCGCACAAACGTGCACACACAACACATCCGTGCACCAGAAGTGACGTAATTGCACTCTCCTGACCCCTGTGCATGGTAGGCTTGTGAGTGGGGCCCTCGCCCCGTTGCCCGAATCTTTCATTTTATCGATGAAGGTGAATCTGTTATAAGAGGGTGAGGAATGAGAGCAGAAGGAAATCTCACACAGGCCTTCTAAGAATCGAGTTGCGTCCCCCTCCTCCCCCAGCAGTTTCTTTCCTACACTACCACCATCAGGTAGATTCCTGAGAGGGTGACCTTGACATGTCTGCAGGAAGCTAACTAACATTGTTGTAAACCATGAGGGTTGCTCAGTGTGTTGTTCAGAGTGAAGATTTCACAAAAAAAGTTAATACGATAGAAGTCTAAGCTGTGATATTAAAATGGGGAGGGGCTGAATATATTTTAAGGTCCTTTCTATAATTATCCACACTGCACAAAATACTCTTCACTGTTTCACTCTTGGGGGCAATACAGGAATGCAGAAAATTACTTGCTTTTGTGCAGTGAGATACGCTGTTATCCGCAGTAGATTGAGTTTGTAGCATATCCAGGGCTGCTTGCTGGGACCTTGTCTTCCTGACAGCCCACAGAGAGCAGCAGTTCTGTGTCTCTGAGTGCTTCTGCTTCAGTCTGTCCATACAGCACTACAGTAATTGGATTTACCTGAGCTGGCATCTGTGGAGTCTTAGAGGTCATAGTTAGAGGAAAATGCAGAGCTAGCCGCTTTAAATTTTGGACCCTGCTTCCTCATTCTGGAGCCTGTCTGCCTCCAACTCCATTGTCTCTTTTTCATCCTTTACCACATTTCTGCCCCCAAACCCTTAAAGAGGAAAGAATACGTCAGTAGTGGGTGTGGCAATTATGTTTTGAATATTGAAAACAATCAGGGTCATTTGAGAGGATCTCTATGCATTTTCCTGCACGAGTTAATAACCGGAATGTTGCTGTGAGTCTGAATGTGGTGCTTGTGTAGCTGCAGGTGAGTCGGGGGCCATTTCTCTGAGAAGTTCAGATTGGCTTTGTGTGTCATCTGTTTATTGCTGTGGAGAGTCCTGTGACTGCAGGAGCTCTTTCTGAGGGTTGCAGCAGGAGTGGTGACTGTGTCCTGGTGATGCCGCAGCTGTGCTAAAGGAAGAGGAAACAGTCACCAAATTCTGGATCCAGTATCAAAGACGACTGGCAGGGCAGCTCAGACAGTGAGAGCAATGAGTATAAGATAATGCATATGCTTGATTTTTGAATGTGCTCAACCTGTTGACTTTTTTAAATTAAATAATAAAATCTTTGAAGGACCCCCAACCTCCACTCTTGAGTTCTTTGACATCTACTCTGGATTCTGCTTCTGTCGTCTCTGACTGGTCCAGCTCTCTCCAGGGTGCCTGCCATGACTTAGGGGAGATGTCCATGCTCTGCACTCCAGGCCTTATTAACTTGCTGTGGGTTAGATTCTCATAGCCCAGTCAGTGCACAGCAGAGCGGCTGCTCTTGTGGGGCTGAATCTGTGTGGAGATCACACATGAGCACACGTGCACACACCTCCATTCTTCTTACGTGGAGCTGCACCCGAGGATACACGGGGAACAGAAAGGAAGGGGAAGGAGTGAGAGCTGGATGAAGCTTAGTGAGTTCTGAGAGGGAAAGGTTTTAGCTGATTAAATGATCAGGTAGTCTGCTGCCAGAGGACGTAAGGGCCAGCCTTGGAATCTAATTATGAAGGAACTTTGCTGCTTAAAAGGCTTACTTGATCAGGGAGATGTTTGACAACCTGAAAAATGAATGTACAACATGGTTTTGAAAAAACAAGATGGAATTTGAGGGGATATTTAGGGTGAGTGGCTGTCAGCACTCTGGAACAGCATCTCTCAAAGGATGAAAATGGATTTCCCTCCCACACGTGCAATCAATTAGGGCTTTCCATGGTCTTGTCCAAGGTCAAGATCAGGAGTGGACATGTGTGACATTCCGTGTTGAGAACTGCGTCATCAGGCCCGACAACGCCTCTGTAGACCCCAAGAAGATGGTCTGTAGTTGGGTAGCTGTGTGCCCTGATACTCTGTCTAGCAGAGGGAGAATGGAGAGAGAGAGAGAGAGAGAGAGAGAGAGAGAGAGAGAGAGAGAGAAAGTATGTGCGTAAAGGTATGAGGAGTTAACCTGTAGACAGGATATAGTCCATTTCCCCATTGTCATTACCTTTCTGTTGCTGTGATAAAACACTGTGACCAAAAGCAACATGAGGAAGAAAGTTACTTTGGCTTTGGTGGTTCCAGGGTCAGTGTCCATCACAGAGGGAACACGGTAATGAGTAGGCGTGGAGGCAGGAAGGAGCAGGCAGCCGAGGGCTGGGTGTGGTGTAAACTCAGACCCCGAGTTCTGGTGTTGAGAGCAAGGGAAGGTAGTAGCACCACTTCCTCTTTCTCATACAAGATGTATTTTCTTCATTTTGAAAATTAAAACGGGTGCATTCTATGAACACTGAGGAGTGGACATGGAGGAAGCAGACACATTGCATGTCAGCGTGTTCCAGACCATGGTCTTTGGAGCAGAGATTTGAATGATCTCTCCTGGGGGAGAAAAAGGCTCTTGGTCAAATAACTGGAAAAAATTATACCCTGTGGAACAGTATGCATTGTACTGTTCTTATCCGAGCACAGTGTCTCTGTTAGAATTGGCAATAATTTCCGAGCAGGCTAGTGGACACAAGCAGTTTGATATTCATTCTCTCTCTCTCTCTCTCTCTCTCTCTCTCTCTCTCTCTGTGTGTGTGTGTGTGTGTGTGTGTGTGTGTGTGTGTGTGTGTGTGTGTATATATACCCTCATGAAGTATAACTGAAAGTTGCTTGCACTTTCTCTTCTGTTCTGAATGAAGAAAGCCAGAGAGGCTCAAATGGTAGGCAGCCAGGAGAAGGGCCCCTGGCTGGCTTTGGCCTTTATAGTGTAGACCAGAGTGGACCTGTGTCTGGCATGAGCCAGAAAGCCGGACCAGGCATGAGTTGGGCTATAAGGCAGGTGACTGCTTTGGTCAAGGTTCTTTAGATGAACAGCTTACAGAATGAATCTCTCTGTATACAGAAAGGGGGTTTACTAGGATGGCTATCCTATTATGGCTGCCTTTTAAGGACTGGGATTTCAGGCGTGAGCCAGCACAACTGGCAACACAGTTTTCTTTTTAAAAACAGGTCCGTGTCTTGCCTTTGACTGAGGTGTGTGAGTTTAGAATATAATGGTATTCATTGTCTGTTGAGCAAGTCTTGGTTCTCCTGACTTAGTGGACTTTCTCTGTAAGAGCTGCTGTGTTCGTGGCTTCTGACTGTCTCGATGCTGGGAGTTCAGTGGCACGTTCTCCATAAGTAAGGATGGGTGTACTGAGCCGAATGAATGGAGCCCCATCCTGTCTGCTTCTTTCAACAGGGATGTGTACACGTAACGTAACTTCTTAGGAGAATTGATGCTAAGGAGTCGAGAGAAGCAGCTCCTTGGAGCTTCTCAGAATAAAAGCAGTGGCTCCCCAAGTAGGGCTGATAAGTGTTTATGCGTCATATAACACATCCTGAAAGTCTTAGCGATTGAGGGCTTTTACTGCCTTTTCTCTAGCTGGGACCTAGATCTAGAAATATGGATCTGGAATGTTCTGGTGAAGGAAGGAATGGGCTCACACGCTTCTCACGACTTGTGCTGGTGACACAGAGCAGTCCTCAAGGTCAGCGTACAGGCCTGCAAGTGTCAGCAGCGGGGGCTTTTAAAACACTGTCCCCCTGGTGCAGGCCCATGCTTTCCCACGTAGCTGCATCGCATGCCAGCAAACGTATTTTCTGTAGTTGTCCCCGCCTCATCCTTTAGTTAGTTAATTAATTTATTGAGACAGGGATTCACTATGTAAACCCGACTGACCTTGAATTTGCAGAGATCTGCCTGTTTCCGCCTCCCAAGTGCTGGGATTACAGGCGTGCATACCTCACAACACCTGACCCTTTAGGCTGGGATTACAGGCGTGCGTCACCAGGACACCTTACCCTTTAGGCTGGGATTACAGGCGTGTGTCACCAGGACACCTGACCCTTTAGGCTGGGATTACAGGTGTGCATACACCAGGACACCTGACCCTTTAGACTGGGATTACAGGCGTGCGTCACCAGGACACCTGGCCCTTTAGACTGGGATTACAGGCGTGCGTCACCAGGACACCTGGCCCTTTAGACTGGGATTACAGGCGTGCGTCACCAGGACACCTGGCCCTTTAGACTGGGATTACAGGCGTGCGTCACCAGGACACCTGGCCCTTTAGACTGGGATTACAGGCGTGCGTCACCAGGACACCTGGCCCTTTAGGCTGGGATTACAGGCGTGCATCACCAGGACACCTGGCCCTTTAGGCTGGGATTACAGGTGTGCATACACCACCTGACCCTTCAGGCTGGGATTACAGGCGTGCATACCCCACGACACCTGACCCTTCAGGATGGGATTACAGGCGTGCGTACACCACGACACCTGACCCTTGAAGGGATTTCAGTTGTTTAGCAAAACACCTGCTTTATGTGAAGACATCTTTTGTTTTAATTATCCTGTCTGTTTAGCATGGACCTTGTTTTGACATCTGAGTGGCTAATAAATGATTTTTTTTTTTTCTTGTTAGTTAGAACCTGGCCCTTTAGATGAAATTCAGATTGCTACCATATTACGAGAAATTCTGAAGGGACTTGATTATCTACACTCTGAGAAGAAAATCCACAGAGACATTAAAGGTAGGAGCTACTCTTGTTTTCATTTCTTTGAAACACCTGAAGTGGCGGAGCCTTCCGTACCTCTGTCCTGCCTACTCTGCATCAAGCTGAACTGTTGTGAACCTCTGGGCACCTTGCTATTACAGGCCCTTGTGCCCTGTGGGGAAAGCATGCCTGGACTCCCAGGGTGAGCCTGGGTGGGTATAACTGTAATGATGTCCCCCTGCTTGGTTGTCTTGCAGCTGCCAACGTTCTGCTCTCTGAACATGGGGAAGTGAAGCTGGCTGACTTTGGAGTAGCTGGCCAGCTGACCGATACCCAGATCAAAAGGAACACCTTCGTGGGCACTCCCTTCTGGATGGCGCCCGAGGTCATTAAGCAGTCAGCCTATGACTCAAAGGTGAGAGAGAGCCTGTGCTGTGGACCCACGACATTCAGATGTCTGTCCCCTTTCATTTTTGCATCCGTGTCTTTCCTTCCGTACCTGAGGTAGGTTGTAGAGGTAATTCTGTGAGCTTCCTTCTTCATCTCCCGCTGTGCTATTGGCTATCTTGTTCTTCTGGCCTTGGTGTGTGTTTGATCTGGTGGGGCCAGGAAGGAGCAGATACGAGGGTGGGCATAGCTTCAGCCTTCTGAGACATGCAGACCCTGGATAGATGGCTCGTGGCAGGCAATGCCGCAGCACAGGAGCACCAAGGTGGGTGGGATCTTGGCACAGTGATGAAGGGCAGGGCCTGGACAGAGCTCAGCCTGCTCTGTATAGATAGGGCTTCTAGAGAAAGAATCAGAGTGTAGTGGTATCTTGTTCCGACCATGGACTTGGGGTGGTGGCCACACCTTAGGGTGTGGCTTCAGTGTGTGACGATGGACGTGACCCCTTATAAGGAAGAGGAGGGGCTGGCTCGTGCTCTCTGAAGTTGTGGTTGGAGCATCCTTCAGGGCAGAGGCTGCCCACTGCATCAGAGAATCCACAGAGAAGCCCATGGCAGAATGGGGCAAGCATCATTCTATAGTGACTGCACCATGTGTTCTCATTTTGGTCTCAGGTCCTTACTCCCAGAGGCTGTGAGACAGCAGGAGACTGCAGTCCTCCCACAGTTGCTTGTTTTTCAGCTTCTGTACCTCGTGTTCATTGTTTTTTTGGTCCTTTAGTTTTTTGAAGCCTTGTAATAGGCCACTCCATTTGCTCGGGTCAGCGGCCTGTGCATAGTAACAATGATCATGGCAGAGAAGTAGCTTTCCTGAGTCCCAAACTTCACAACAGCAGCAAAAATTTAACTCAGGGATGCTCATAGGTCGAACATTGTTTTTTGTTTGTTTATTTATTTACGTGCGTGTGTGCGTGCGTTCGTCTATGTGAATATGCACGTATGAATGCTGATCCTTGGGAAGGCTGGAAGCATTAGGTCATCCCCGAGATGGAGTCAGGCTGCTCTAAGCTGTCTGACACAGGTGCTGGGAACCAGACCAGGATTCTTACGAGAACAGTGTGAGCTCTGAAATGTGTAGCTGTCTTTCCAGCCGCCAGTCCCCATCCCCTATGAAGACGGTTTTGCTCTGTTGCTGGAGTCTGACAAACTGGTGAGCTGCCTGCTTCAGCCTTCTGGTGTTGAGATTGCAATGATGTGTTAGCATGCCAGGCTCAAGCCTTTGTCACTCTTTCTTCTCTCTCTCTTCTTTTTAAGATAGGACCCTCCTCCATGTGTAGCAGCTTTCCTGGCTCATTAAATGGTGTGTGGAACATAGGCTAACTTGCCTTTGGGACCTTGGGTGGCTCTTGTAAGGTGTCATGGCATGTCATGGTGGGTGAAGGTGCAGCTGTCCCACGTTCTGGCTTGAGAGAACTCAGAGACTGGTGATGTGGTAGCTCGGGTAGGAGCTCTTTCCCCGGCATCCAGAAAGCAGCAAGTGTGCTTCAGGCTAGTCAGTTCTGCTCTCTGCATTTGTTGCCCAGGCCTTTTCCCTGAGTTCTGTCATACAGAAAGGTGGGTGTATTGTCCACAGCTCACTGTCAGTGCTCATGTCTGAATTTTGGTAGAAGAGGGACTAGAATCCAAGTTCCTTTCATTGCAGGTCATTCTCTTTCAGTTGCACTCAATTGGCTTTTCAACCATGGCCCTTAGGACTTGGAACCCAGGCCACCCATTTCTGTTTTACACATAGCCACCCCTTTTTTGTTTGCCAGAGAGCTCTCCTGATCTTGCTGTCATTCCAGAGCATCTCTAAAATGACTTTGTGGTACAGTTCAACCTTGGTTGTTTTGGGCTATGACTGTCCTCTCCTTACCTGATTTTCATTCGAATCCCCAGGTGCCACACGTCGTAAATGTAGTGATAGGCAAGGTTACGTTTGCTGGGATTTGGTAGAATCAGTTCATTAAGTTAATGGGCTATGGTAATGTAATTATTTGTTCTGAGGTAGAGTAAGTAATGCTGCTTGTGGAATGTTTGGGAGACGCCTTCTGTCTTCCTACTCACATTTGTTAGGGTAGGTTGGGTTTACACATGGATTCTTATTGTGGTCTTTGATTATGTGCCAAATGGCTTGGTGCTCATGGGCTCAGTGTCCAGGTTTGTCAGTGGGCTTCAGATGCACAGGGGGACTGCACAGGCTCCAGGTGCAAGGGCAGCTTAGCCAGGCTAGTGCTAGAAGGACATGGGACGGCTGGCAGTTAAAGCCTTGTCACATGGCCACACATCTGTCACCTGGCTGGGTTTAGATATTTCATAGTTTTGGGTGTTTTTGGTTTTTTTTTTTTGGACAAGGTTTCATTATATAACCCATTTTGGTCATGAACTTTCAGTTCCTCTGGCTCAACCTCCTTAGTGCCAGGATGGCACCAGGTTGTTCTCGGTTAGGACGATCCAAAGAGGACAGGTGAGAGTCAGGCCTTCCTTAATGCTCCTGTAGGTTGCTTTCCTATGTGTGGCTTTCTTGCTTCTTGTCACCTTCATGGTTCTGACTGGTACCCTGCCGTAAGGGTTTCTGGAACTTTCAAAGTTACAATGGCAAGTGAGTCCACTCCAAGTGGTTAAAGGTCAGCAATGTCCGAGTCCTGTAGTCACCTGAACAGGCCTTCTCTTGCCACGTGTAAGAGAGAAGGCTGTCCCTTCAGGGCCTGGTGATGAGTTCACAGGGCAGTGACGTGAGCAGAGGTGTCTCCCTCCACTGCAGGTCCCCATGTCAGCTGTTTGCCAGCCTGTTGTGTTGTTTGTTTTGAGTTGCTGACAGCCCTGCTCACTGTAGAGCAGCCCTAAGACTGCTGTGTGTTCCCAGTCTATCTGATGTGTCTTTCCCGGTGTGTTCTCAGCCTGGGTCCCGTGGACTCTGACATGAGACTCAGACTCAGCACTGGGGAGCCCTGCTGCCTAAGCCCATGTACCAATCACTTCAGTCAGTGCACAGTGGGTTCCTTAAATGGTGACTGTAGTGAAGGGCATTCAGCAGTCTTAGGAAAAGGCTGTCAGTAACTCAAACCAAACGAAACACACAACACAACAGGCCACAAGACTTAGTGACTTATTTTATAATGTTGTATGACGACACATAGACGAAGTCTGTACGGAAGTGCTAGTAGTGATTTTGGTTGTGTGGTGATGTGTTAATGTTTCCCATGTCCATGTGTGACCACACTTCATAGCAAACATTCTGCATGGCTGAATGCAGGTAGAGCGTTTGCTTAGCATGCGTGAGGCCCTACGTCCAATTCCCAGCACTGCCAAAGCAATCAAACAAAACAAAGCTGCTGTAAGTTCTGGGCACAGTGGTCGGCCCTTTACATATCCTTCTGTAACCACCTCCCTCTTGAAAAGCAAGGGGGCGGGGCTCAGGGAAGCAATTCTCTAATGTTGTAAGACTACAGAGCTGGTGTTGAGACCAAGGTTCCCTCTGGATCTGAACAGCTGTGCCTGGCACCAGGCGCTGCTCAAGGGGTGACTCCCAAGCAGCTCCGCCTGCTCGTCGGCTCCTGTGAACACTGCTGCAAGGGCTGTACTGAGCACACCTCACAGGCGCGATGCCTACCATAGACGCGGCCAGTCAGGAGCTATATAGGGCGGGGCATTTGCTTCAACAGATCTGCCCACTGTGTTTTGTCTTGAAATTATGCCAAGGGCTTGTGTTTCTTCTTAGTTCAAGATGATTTTCTTTTTCAGAACCTGAGATTGAAACAGACCCACAGACAGACAGACAGACAGTCTCTCTCTCTCTCTCTCTCTCTCTCTCTCTCTCTCTCCTCTCTCTCTCTCTCTCTCTCTCCATGTCTTAAAGATGCTTTGGTCCTTGCAGGCAGACATCTGGTCCCTCGGCATCACAGCGATAGAACTGGCCAAAGGAGAGCCTCCACATTCCGAGCTGCACCCCATGAAGGTGTTATTCCTCATCCCAAAGAACAACCCTCCCACACTGGAAGGAAACTACAGCAAGCCCCTCAAGGAGTTTGTGGAGGCCTGTTTGAATAAGGAGCCCAGCTTTGTGAGTGTACCCCGTCTCTGTGGTCTCAGCTGGTTTGAATTTGTTCTTTTGGGGTTGTCCCAGTCACTGTTAGCCACTGTCTCCATGAGCTCATACATCTTTGCAAATGAGTTTGATTTCTTGGAATTACAGAGACTTTTGTTGTTGCCATTTTACCTTTTAGGGATTTAAGATGTAATTATTTTGTTTAGAGTTTTCTAATGTCTTACACCTCATTGAACCTGGAGAATATTCTCTGTAGAACTGGAGTAGGGTCGGCAAGTTTTTAGTGCTCAGAGAGAAACAGGCTGTAAACTGGAAAACTACTTTGGTAATGGCAGAGGCTGGCCTGAAGATAATGGCAGTAAATATTGTTTCCAGTTGTCGTGTGCTGTGAGGCAGACAAATCAGACACATGGGACCTGCCCATCTCTGCCTCCTCTCCCTGGCCCTCTGAGTTTATTCAGCGGTGGCAGAGCCCACGCACCAGCCACATTGAGCTTTGCCTCCTTTTCCTGATAACTGGGGCTTTCCTTTGAAAGCAGCATGTAATTTGTGTCACGTGTAGCATCCTGTGTCCACGTTTTGGGTTTCTTTGAGCAGAGTTAGCTGGCAGCAATGCTTCATTGAACCCTAAGAATATCCATGAGGGGTCCCCTTGGCCTCTTGTCTGAAAATGGTGAGAAAAGCTGAGTTTTCCAAGAGTAGTTCCCCCGTCGGTACCAGCTCAGGCAATGGAATTGATCATATCGTGGCTGCAGATTGAGGTCAGCCTATCTGTCAGCATTTGGTCACTGGGGTGGGTGTGGTCTTGCATGAAGTCCACTTGTTTGATTGCTCAAGGCACAGGGTAGCATCCACAGTATGTTAGCATCCGGGAAGAGACCAAGTGTGTACACATCTTCTAAAGCATGTCAGTGCTCATTTATTACTAGGGTACACCCCTCCATCTTGGCTTGTCCCTGGACCTTCAGACAAGAAGGTCTGCAAAGCTGAGAATAGGAGCACTTGGGACGATGGAGAAGGGGAGGCCACTGGGGTTCTCAGAAATCATGGCTAGAGGAACATGCTGTTCTTACAAGAGGAAAACGTTGATTATCTGGAGCAGGTGGGACTATGGTGTGCCTGGCTGGCACCTCTGTGCTTTTGCTGTCTGTCCCTGGTTGGGCCACTCTGTGTTGAGGGAGCTTTGTGCCAGTAGATGGGAAACCACTGGCTAACCTCTGGGTGTGCCATTCAGTTGGAGTTGTGCCACGTCCAGGTGGTGATAGAGTTGTCGGCCCTTGACACTGGGGTAGGGATAGGTTCACACACTGACTTTTCTAGTTGGGAATGCTGGTGACCGACCAGTTGTGTATCTCCTGACTCCTGCCCCAACCTGTTCTAGATGAGTCTAATTACTGAGTTGGTTTTAATTTGTGGTATTAGCCTAACACTGTAGGAAGTCATGAAGAGCATGTATTTCCCTTAGTCAGCACTTGTCATGAGGTGCCATGTAAAATAGGAGCTACTCTCTCAGGCAGTGCCATGGAAACCAGGAGAAGCTCTCTCGGGCAGTACTCACAAAGCTCTCCCTCTGTGGAGTTACTGTAGAAGGGCTCTTGCTTCAACCTAATGGTTCTGATAGAATGTTTTTGTCCATGTTGGGAACTGTCACATTTACCTTGTGCCTGTAGTCTTGGGCATAGGTGTGGAGTGACTGATCTGGTGTTTTAGCCCAGTGGTCTGGCTGCCCGGGTGGAATAGAGTAGGATGAAGAAGACACTTCTCACGATTATTTGGACGCTTGTGTTTTCCAGAGACCCACCGCCAAGGAATTACTGAGGCACAAGTTCATAATCCGCAATGCAAAGAAAACGTCCTACCTGACCGAGCTCATCGACAGGTACAAGAGGTGGAAGGCGGAGCAGAGCCGTGACGACTCCAGCTCGGAGGACTCGGATGTGTAAGCGGCCCCGCCCCACAGGCTGGAGCTACCAGTCCTTCCTGATGGACTGTGTGTGCATGCGAGTGTCTGTGCTTTGGGCTGTGTCCCTTCCTTTTGGACTTACGCTGAGTTTTGTGTTGTACACGTGCCTTGTTTGAGGTTCTTTGTCCCCGCACTGCCATGGGGTTTGAGTGAGTTCTGCATAATTAGAAGCATAGGCAGAGTTGTGGCAATAGCTTCCTTCTCTTCATTACCCCTGACGATACCCCCCTCTAAAGGTACTGACAGACAGTCCTCGTATGCAGTGCTGAAGAGAAAAGAAAGAATGCTTTGGCGACTGGTCGGTGTTGCTCTGTGTGGGGCAGTTACTCACTGAAAGCGGGTTCCCCTAAGCACCACGTTGTGCCGACTGGCGTGTGAAGTGACTGGCACCCTCCAAACAGGAGCTAGAGGGAGGGTGGCCTGGCTGTCTTGTAAGAGTGAAAGGAGGCACCTGGAGGCCCCATAGCCATTAGCTAGCATCGTGTCTCCATGCCAGGACAGCTGACTGCAAGCCTCTGCGACCCACCCATGTCTGAAGATCCTGGTTACTGTTTATAACCAAGGTTGAGACCACTGACTGGATGGTTAGCTCAACAGCGAAGGCTGAAGAGAGTGGAGGCAGGGCTGGGGGCCAGGCTGTGGCAGTAGGTGTGGATGGAGGTGTCAAGGTCCTGACCTGTCACACCAGCTAATCCCAGCTACCAGAGCCTTGCTGAAACCATCTCAAAATAAAATGTACACAAAGTGCTGGGATTGTTGCTCAGGATCTGCCTAGCATGTTATAGGAGGCTCTGGGTCTAATCCCCAGTGAAGGGTTTGGGTAAAGGAAGCAGGGAAGGAAGGAAGGTGTTCCAGGTTTCAGCACTGAGGAGTAATGTCACTGTGGTAACACATCACAAACAGTTTGATGTGGGCCATGTTGGAATTTGAGCTGCTGTGGAATGGTGTAGAAGACACGTAGCTTAAAGGATTGTTGTGGCACTGAGAGCAGGCAGAAGACACAGACTTATGTATACCCTGCTGTAGAAAAGACCTTGGAATTGGCGCTGTGAGAAGATGGCGTCACTTAAGGAGAGGGGTCAGAGCCGGGAGTCAGCCTCTAGGAAGCCAGCATCAGAGGACGGTGGGGACATGGGAGCAGCTGTGGCTCTGTCGGTGGGAAAGGATGGAGGTGACAGGACAAGTGTGAGGCATTGCTGCTGAGGGCCAAGCAGGCTCCAGAATGAGCAGGGAGGTGACCCCCTTCTCTGACAGTGTGTAGGGTTTTGGTGGCAGTACACCAGGGGGCTGTGGCGTTAGGGACAGTGATAGATAGTGAGTAGAGTTGCTTAACTTGTAGCTCGGCGTGGCTGCGAACGGGCTGTGGCCTAAGGGGAGAAGAGGAGAACAAGGTACCTGCAAAGAAAGTGAGGTTCAAGTGAGGGACAGAGAAGGGGCAGATGGTACTTAGGAGAGGTGTGGCACCTTGTTGTGCCACAAGCAGCAGGCAGCAGCGGCAGCGGCAGCATAGTGGTAGTGGGCCGGTAGCACGAGGGCAATCCTAGGAGCCACACCCCTTCCCGTCCTCTGTGATGTTCTGGGAGGCCTCCAGACTGAGGGGCACTGGCGACTGAGTGGGGCTGGGGTCAGTGGCATGGGCTGTGTGGTTCATGGCCTAGCCCATGTTGGTGAATTTGGTGGAATTTCTGTGTTAAGGGAAACAGATGGCCAGGCGTCTGGAGGCAGTGACTCTGGGGACTGGATCTTCACAATCCGGGAGAAAGATCCCAAGAATCTGGAGAATGGGACTCTTCAGCCATCAGATTTGGAAAGAAATAAGGTACGGTGGTGGTTTGTGCAATCTCCCATGCCCATGCTCGCCCAGGACAAGCCTGCTGTGGGAGTGGATGTGGAGCTCCTCGAAGCAGCTCCTTGGTGGCATTGCCCTCAGGGAATTGGTCCTGCCTGAGAGTGTGGATGCTGGCCTGTGTGCCCTTCACCTCCTGACCCTCGGCCACATGGTGGCGCTGGAAGTGTCACACATGACCACTCTGTGAGCACTTGCTGGACTTCTCATAACATTGCTGATTTTATGGGGGAGTTTTAATTGTTGATATTTAATACAGACTTGAGGAGGTGGTTTGTCTCCACTTAAATTTACAGAAAGCTATGTTGTGAAGATTTATTTATTTATTTATTTATGTTCAGTTGTCAGGCTATGTGGACTACTTGTGACCATACAGCCTCCTCTGGTGAGGTAGGCAACTTCAGAGAGGTGGGGGGAACCGGGCTTTTCATACAATGGCTGCCTGGAGCACCTGGCTTTAGTCCTCCAGAGTGTCCTTGGAAAAGACTGCAGAGCAGGGCAGGGCAGGGCAGCAAGTTTGTTCTCACCTACCTGGTATCTTGCAGTGATTTCCCGTGGGGCCCCTCTGTCGACAGTCTCACTCAGATAGTAACAGAAATCACTTCCAGGAGTTCACTGGAAAATCCAGTCCATACCTTGGTAGAACCTTTGCCTGTCTCAGTGTTGCCTGTTTCTAATGGCCCCTTTTCTTTTCTTCCCCAAGATGAAAGACATCCCAAAGAGGCCTTTCTCTCAGTGCTTGTCCACAATAATTTCTCCTCTGTTTGTGGAGGTAAGATCCCTGGCTGCCTTTCTTGTGGGGAGGGATTAGGAGGGGGGACAAGGGGAGCAGGGCTGTTCTTTTGTAGGTGGCTGTCGGGACAAGTTGGGGCCATTAAAACGCCTATAGCAGAGGCAGGCTCAGTGTCTTCATCTCAGTGGCTTCCATAAGCCAGGCACATGCGTAGGGAAAGCTGTTTGGATTTCCATGTTTGTCCGGCTGTGTAGGTTTTACTGGGCTTAAACTATTGAAATCATTTCTCAGTAGTGACCCCCAAATCCAAATCCACCAGAAATGAGTTAATACTGTGGAAGTTCTAGAGAACCCAGAGGAAATACTTCCAGTCCCTCCCGTTCGTCTGTCCGTATTCGCCTGTGTCGTGCAACCCCCCCCCCCCCACCCCCTCTGGT